GCAGATATATCAGAAGCACAAAATGAATCCATCATCAAGAGGAAAAACAAGATATAAGCAAATGTACAGAAGATTAAAGTGTTGAAACTAGTATATAAAACCTGTAGGATAATTATTACAAATACTTTAAATAATTTACAGTATTATATATACCTGCATACACATTAATATAAATGTCTATATATGTAGATCTACTTCTACACACATAATAAAAGAAGTAAAAGTTCTGAGGGAATTAAAATAACTTGTTAGAAAACAAATGCTAACCTTAAAATTAAAAATAAGATGTCTTTGGACTGGTGAAGTGGCTCAAATGGTACAGTGCCCATCTAGCAAGCATGAAGCCCAGAGTTTAAACCCAGTACGCTTAAAAAAATAAAATAAAATAAAATTTCTTTGAGGGCTAGGGGAATAACTCAGTGGTAGAGCACATGCCTAGCATGTGTGAAGGCCTGGGTTAGATCCTCTTCACAGCAAGAAAAAAAATTAGGAGATAAATATGAGATATACTGATTCAAAAATAGAGTATCTTTGCATGCTGAGGATATAGGTCAGTAGCAAACTGTATGTTTAGCCATGAGGCCCTGGATTCAATCTCCATCACCAAAAAATAAAAATAACAAAAGCCACAAATACAATACATTTAATATGACAGTTCACACTGTGGGTTCACAGGAGATTAGACACTGTAGAATAAAATATCAATGAACTTTGAAGGCATGGGAATAAAAATAATCAAAAGTGAGGAGAAAGGAAAATATTTTAAAAAAATAAAGAGACTGAACACGTAGAACAATGTCAAGATCTTTAAACCGCAGTCCAAGAAAGAGAGAAGTCATTTTAAGAAATAGTGTCTTAAAAAATTTCTCCAAGTAATCTGAAATCCTGAGGAATCCTTTTTTTTGGCAGTACTGTAGTGGACTGAACATAGGCCCTCCTACCTGGTATGTAAGCTTTCTGCAGCTAAGCCACATCCCAGCCCCTGAGGGATCATATTATGAAGTCATATCTCTTTATCTTCAACCCTGCAACAACATCAATTTGAATTTCCTACCATGATTTGTTCCCATTCACTTTTCTCTGAAAACTCATGCTCCTGAAAATAGAGTAAGTATAATGTTCTGCACTTCAAAAAGTAAAAGTGGTAATAATGTTAAATTTTGCTAAAGAAAGAATTAACATTTGAGAACTCAAAGAGATGAGTGCAGTTGATAAGATGCAAAGAAAAGAATGAAGGGTGAAATTAAAATTTATTGAGATGAGAATGGTTAACAACATTTCAAGTAATAAAGAAGATTTTAAATAACTTCTGTCTTGTTATAAGGGAGACATTTTTCCATAAGGCACTATAATTTTAGCTGTATAGGAGTGAATAGTATTCAACAATGATCATGTAAAGATCAAAATCATTTTCCAAAACAATATCTTTATGTTCCCAGAAGGTAATGAATAATGAATGTTTCTCTTTAATGCATAGAGAAAAACTGCGTTAATACTTAACATATTTCGTTATCTCAAAAAGCAACTCATTACTTAAGATATTTTGTTGTTTCAAAAAAGCAACCTAATTTATCTATTTAATTCATAACATTAGCCTTGCTACTACATTTTCAAAAATCCTTAACCAATCACTGAAATATGGACTGTTCCTACCACCCTTTGGTACTGTCAAACTGTCAACAACATCTAAAATCAACTTGAAATTAAATAGCAATGTTGTAGCAAATGTTACTTGATCATTAAAATTTAACATGTCATAGCTAATTTCTTTCAGACATTACAGCAATGAGCCTGTAACCACTTCTAGATATTTTAATACATAAAATATTCTCATTTTGTCACATGTACGCATACTGGTATAAGACAAAGTCATCTCATTGCAAATACTTCTAACAATGCCCTTTATTTGGGAAAACATTCAAAACCTCTAACCAAAGATGCCTGGATTCTTCAACTCAAAAACAACTTTTAAACTTTTCACCTGTCTTATAGACAAGTGAAATATTTTAGAATTATTTGCAAATACTTCTTTTTATACTTAAGAATTACACATCAGTAATACCCACATAAATGCGATAATTCTTTGAATCATTTGAATCTACAAATTTAAAATAGAAATCATGAGTGAAGAAAATGGAATTCCAGTATTACCATTTATTGACTTTAAATATCAGCAAATATCCAGGTATATAAAAAAGCTCATAACCTCAGAATGATAATCATAGCATCATAGGTTGAGTTATTAAAATTCCTGCTACATAGATACAGACAATAAATGAGGGACTGTTATATAGTTTTGATGATAACTGTTAACATGTCTTCTATCAAATGTTAGTAATCATTATCTCTGACAATGTGAAACAAACTTATAAATAAATACGATATTTACTCTCTTCATGGAAAAATTCTTAATGAGATTCTTGTCATCAGTGAAGTTTTTAAAAATTAAGATATTTATTATATCCTGACTTGTACCTGCATTTATGATCAATATATCTTTAGCCCATGGGAACATTTTAAACTGTCAATTTCTAAATGTTATTTCTTACACTTTATTTCTCATATGTGTATGTGCTATTTTTATTTATCTTTAAGCCTACACATTACTACTACATTATTGTTAGAGGTTGGTTGGTGGTTAATGACAAGACTGCATGGTACAGTGTGGGGCCATTAAATTAGCCCATGGGCAAATTTAATATTATTAATGAATAAGTAACAGAACAGTCATTTTGGTAATGGCAAAGTATTAAAAGCTGCAAGATAGATTAAATTAAATTAGTTGCATGAAAACCAATGACATGCACACCTAACTAGAAAATACCCCACACTTCTTTCTCAAATGCACTATGTTCAATTAGTTAAGGGGAAAGTGAAAATTATTGGTAGATTCAAAAGTTTCTGGTATTGACAATTCTCTAATCTACTCGTTAGTGCAATAACAATTGCAGTAGATGGAGAAAAGGCCAATCCCATAAGGAAGGAGAGTGCTGGCTCACATTAGCAGCCTATAAACTTAATAAGAATTAGTACACAATTCTATGTTAGTAATTTTCATGTAGCAATCCATCATCCTTATTGTGATTTGCAGAGAATGTACTAAATAGACAATAACATCCAAAAAGAGCAAAATGACTTTCACAAATTTCACTGTTCTATTGCAATTATTCCAACAAAAGATGTGTTTAGGCATTTACAACTCAGGGGTGGTGAATGTTTATTCTCTGGGGAGACTGACAAACTATTACAGAAGTAGTGCTCAATTAATACCACCCAAATGTATTTGGTAGAAATAAAATTCCAATTATTAGAGAGATTATTTTGAAAAAGAATTGAAGAAAATTCTCTATAATGATGGAAAAGCCAAGGATCAATACTTTGCTCTTTATTCTTTACATATAATTTAACCCCCTACTCAGCAGAAAATGTGTGACTCATATAGACAGTAGTCATGGCTGATAGTTCTAGGTATGCTTCCCATAATCAGTAAGTGATCTGACATTTGTGCTTACAAATGGACACCTCTGAAATCTGATTAATCTCCATCCATACTCCAGTACTTGATAAAAGTGTTGGTAAACCAGAAGCATACGGACTCCATGAAAAGAAAATTACCCCATAAATATTGTCCAAAGCAGCAATCATCCACCTTATCTTTCAATAACAGATTCACTGGAAAAAGCAAAAACAACAACAACAGCAAATAATAATCCCTGAAATGCGGGGCAAAGAGCCAACAATGTCACTTTTCCATCTGGAAAACATTTCTGCGTTTACATTAAGTTCCTGTGGACTGATTTAATTCTATTGTGTAGTGCAGTCTGTATATAATCTGGATAAAAATCAAAACACTGATAACACTCATAATAAGGACAACATTAATACCAACACCAGTTCATATTCTTGAGATAAGTTATTGTAACTACTGCTGAATTAGATATGTCATTTCCAATGGAACACAGAGATCACATGATCTGCCTCAAGACATACAGCTCTAAAGTAAAAGAATTAAGATTTAAATTCAGGCTAGTCTGAAGTTAAAGTTTATAGTTTCAACCATTGTGCTATACTGGTTATTCTAGATATTTGTAAAATACCTAGATAATGACAATAGAAATCATAATTTTGGGTATCTAGCACAATATGACCAAACTCTGCTATATAAATTATATAATTTCTACACTTGAAATTCTATTTTCTTTTTAGCTGGGGATGAACTTAACTTTATTAAAGGCAAGATTCTTTTCTTTATATATATTTTTTGAGTACTGACTGCATACTGTAGATAGTGTGGGTTGAATTGCACTCACTCCAAAATTCTGTATTGAAGTCCTAACGCCTAGTAGGTCAGAATGTAACCATATTTGGACAGAAAGGGTTTATTGTTCAAACAAGGTAATTAGGGTGGATGTTAATCTAAAATGACTTGTATAATTATTCAAAGGGAATATTTGATCATAGCTATGCATAGAGGGAAGGTAATGCTGCAAGGAAGGTAGGAGATGGTTGGTTAAAGGTCAAGGGGAGAGGTCTGGGTCAGCTCCCTTTCTCACAGCCCTCAGAAGGAACCCAACCCTGAAGATACCTTGATTTTGGACTTCTACTCTCCAGAACTGTGAGTCAACACATTTCTGTTGTTTAAGCCCCACTGTATGTGGTATATTTTATGATGGTCCTAGCAAGCTAATACAGAAAATTAGTCTTACATGCTCCATGACTCAGGATATGTCAATTAATTTTCCTCTTTGAGGCAGTTACTACAGTTTCAAACATAGCTCTGCTTATTTGGGGTCAAATCATCCAAAATACAACCAAAAACATTTTAATATTACTATGAGTGAATACTCTACGTGAGTGTATCAAATAATTGAAAGCCTAGGTAATAGCTACAAAAATACTAACAGATCATCATAACACCTATAATGATACCTTCAAATTCTGTTATATGTATGCAAAAGAGTAGAAAAATTCAAGAAAATGTAAATTTGTTCAGCACTTACTTTGCAACCTTCGCGTTGGGCTCTCTCCATGGAGCTGTCTTCGTGACATGTATGGAGAAGGGTGAGGAAGTGGCAATGAAGAGAGGTCGTGGGTCTGAAGCTTGTACCAGTGTGGCCCATCATCTAGTAATGCTGTTTCTAATTCAATTAAAATCTACAAACCCAACAGACAAAAAGCTGTTACGCCAATAATAAATTCTCCTAAGTGATCTCATAACTTTTGTAGCAATAACTGTAATAGCAATGCTGTTCGAGCCAAAGCAAAGTTATTTACATGTTGTGAAATTATCACTATGTAGCCAAGCACTGGTGGCTCATACCACCATCTTAAGTGAAGGTAGCCAAACGTAGAAGACCAAAACCCACTTAAGATGATGCTCTCATCTTAAGCCACCTGGGGTGGCTTCAAACTGCAATCCTCCTAACCTCTGCTTCCTGTGTAGGATTACTGGTATGAGCAAAAATGTCATTCTCTCTTTTACAAAATCACAGAACTGGATGAACAGGTCCTGCCTGGGGGGGGGGGGCGCTGATACCAGCGGAAGGGTGGGAAAAGGTGTGGGAGGGTGAATATGGTACAAATACTGTGTACACATGTATGTAAATGGAAAAATGATACCTGTTGAAACTATTCCAGGAATGAGGGGAGGGGGGATAAGGGAGAGCACTGGATAGAGTGAGTTCAAGTATGATATATTTGATATACTGTAAGAACTTTTGTGTGCCACAATGTACCCCCAACTCAGCCCAACCATAAAAAAATTTTTTAAAAAAAAAACAAAAGGAAAACAACATGGATGGACTTTTAAAGTGAACTGTATTATAATACGGATTTTGTAACATTAATATTTTTAAAGACTATAAAAGAAGTCAGTTTGTAGAAATGACTTTTCTCTTAGGGTACTGTTCACTTTGACAGTGTTTGCACTTGCGTTAAGGAAACCCGCACGGAAAAGAGAAGCTACTGGACTACTAGCTACAAAGTCTAAAAAGCAAAAAAAGGGAAGCTATTGATTCACTCTGCAAATTTTCCCTAGTCATTTTCAAAATCGCAGACTACGTTTCCAATGTCACACACACACACACACACACACACACACACTTACACATCACACTTATTTTATCCTCATGTTGCCATGAGGATAAGCAGTATTTCCACTTGGCTGATGGGGAAACTGAAGCCTACAAAGGTTAAATAACTAGGAAGCAGGAGCATGAGGAAAGCAGACCTGGAAGCTGCCTCCAGAGTTTCTGCTCCAAAGAACTGTGTTCCCTTCTCTCCAAATGGTTTATAGGTTTGTGACTCTGTGGTTCCTTAGTTGACAGCATTCAGTTCAATATTTCTATAGATTGTTGTAAACTAAATTACCAGGTTAGTTTTACCAGGAACACTAACCATAGCAGAAGAAAAAGGGGAGCAAGTTAGAAAGTGGATAATTTAGCTTACAAATTAACTCCCCATCTTGCCCCTCTCCAATTTGCTCTCCACATTAAAATTAAAGATTGTTCTCAAAGGTTAGTTTGGGAAGAATTATTTTAGAATGTAACACATATGTACAGGAAATCAATGTGAGTCAACTCCCTGTACAGCTATCCTTATCTCAACTAGCAAAAACCCTTGGTCCTTCCTATCATTGCTTATACTCTCTCTACAACAAAATTAGAGATAAGGGCAGAATAGTTTCTGCCTGGTAGCGAGGGGGTGGGGGGGGGAAAGTGGAGGGGGAAGGGGGGAGAAATGACCCAAACATTGCATGCACATATGAATAAAAGAAATCAAAAAAAAAAAAAAAAACATGTTCTCAACTACAAATGAAACTGAACTTCAAATTTGGCATTGGTTCCCCTTAATCACAGGGTAAGTCCAAATTTCTTAACACAGTACGTGAGGGGACTCGCACCAGTTTAACCCCCAAGTCTCATTTCTTGCCACTTTTCTTTTCACTTCCATTGCAGTTGTTCAAAATCCCCTAGCCCTTAGTGTCTTGTTATTCTCTGTAGGTACCCTTTCCCCTGACTTTGTTAAATCCCATTTCTTATGGGTACTTTAATTACTCACCCCGTCCTGCAGAGCAGTTATGTCTTCCTATGACATTTTCCCCATGATGGCAATTGCCTTGATTCTCCACTGATGCCTCAGTCCCTAGCACAGTGCCTGGTAGATTATAGGACTTAAGAAATAGTCCACCAACAAATGATTGAACCATCTCCTGGTAGTGATATATTTGCTTCAATAAAACTAACAAGATATATACAACACAATGCAGCCATTTATTTGTGGATTGGAAACCAAACTGATTTCATTCAACACTGAGATTTGTTTCATGTTTTTTGTTTGCTTGTTGGTTTTTGTGGGGTTTTTTCTTTTTTTGTTTTTTACTTTGCAATCTTTTTTTAAATTGTTGTGCTGGGAGTACATTGTGGCATTTACAAAAGTTCTTACAATATATCAACTATTTTTGCTTTTTGAGACAGGGTATCATTATGTAGCCCAGACAAGCCTCAAATGTGAAATCCTCCTGACTCATCCTCCAGAGTGTTGGGATTACAGGAATGTTCCATTATGCTCAGCAACACCAAGATTTTCACACTAAGAATAAGTGTGTAAAAACTGCCATAGAGTATTAGTTCATTTAGTTTACTTTATCCTCTATTTTTTTCTATTGTTTGAAACAGGATCTCTCTATGTTGCCCAGGCTGGCCTTGAACTCCTGGGCTCAAGTGATTCCCTTCCCTCCGCCTCCCTGGTAGCTGGAGCTATAGGTGCAAACTACTTCCACCACATCCAGCTTTGTTATAGAGTATTTAGAACCATTGTTTTTTGTGGTAACCCATGAGTTTTATGTTAAAGCAATAGCTAAATTTGTTCTGTTAAATTAAGAAATTATGCTTACTTTTTCACATATTTAAAACATAAACTTTTACTGACGTTCATTTAAACAAAAGTATTCAGAAAGACAAATTGCGTAAACTTCAAAATAATTCCAGGTACCTCCCCTAAGAATTCACTTTCTTCCTCTCGAACCCGAGCTTGGTCCCAAAGGGTAATTTCCAGCATTCGTTCCCGAAATTCTCTGCGGTGGACTGGAGAATAAATGAATGTCTGGTTCCATTTGGGTTCCAATGTTTTCTTTACTGTTTTTGTTCTTCTTTTGTTTTTATCACTATTTAAAAAAGAAAAGAGTGTGAACTTCCCTAAAATTCTAAGTATTGCCCTAATATTTATTAATTTAAAGTTTCTCAGGAGAGAAGTCAAGGGAAGTTCATGACAGCGTTATTATATATTCGTACATCATAACTCTTAAAATTACTATTAAAATTTATAAGATATATAATTATAACATAGTCTGTGCTTTAATAATTGCAACAGTTCAATAAATCTTAAACTTTTCCAATGACAGACAGTTAAAAGCTCACTTCAGCTGGGGAAGCTTAACTCTAAAAATGTTTAACATATTTCCCAATTGGAAATCTTCAAAGCAGACATTAGCCAGTGACATTACATGTTCTATTCACTGAGACTATGTAAGTCTTAGTATACACTAAGTTGAGTAAATTGCAGTGTTCACAACATCATGTCCAAGTAGTATAGTTAATAGGCATTATAATCTGCATTTTATAAGGTTACTTTCTTACATGTAAGAAATACTGGCTAGGCACCAGTGGCTCATGCCTGTAATCCTACTTACTCAAGAGGCAGAGATCAAGAGGATCACAGTTTAAAGCCAGCCCGGGCAAATAATTTGTGAGACCCTATCTTGAAAAACTCTTCACACACACACACACACACACACACACACACACACACATACACACACACAAAAAATATCACTGGTGGAGTGGTTCAAGGTGAAGGCCCTGAGTTCAAGCCCCAGTACGGCAAAAAAAAAGAAAGAAAGAAATACTACTTGCTTGTTTGATATACATGATATCTTTAAAAACATTGAAACATTGTTTTTGTCAGATAGCCACAAGAACGTGGACTAGAAATGCAAGATGACTATCCTGACATATGGGACATCTAGCTCAGAAGTTTTCATGCATTTTGATTGCCTATCTCTATCAAGAGAATTTTTTATACTATGATCTCATTACATGAACGTTTACTTATAAACTTCATTTATAAATTAAAAAACTATAGATATATTAGTATGTCAATACATTAGGTATATTGGAACATATACAGAAATAGAAACTTAAAATCAGATGTAGATTTTTTAAATTCAAGTATTTGTTCCTGAACGCTAACAGATTACATATCCCCTATGATACACCCAATCCAATTTAGATATCACTACTTCTTAAAGAGGATCAATGATCAGATATAAAGAGAGAAAATCATATAGGAAGCAAACTTTAAGATACCTATGACAGCCTATGTAAAATGACAAGTGAACAGATAATGGACTCCAATTAGAGCAATATTAACACATACCAATTCTCTTAGCATAGCACAGTTCTAAGAGTTCTGATGTTAAAGCTTAGATCTTTTATTTTATCTTATTTTTTGTGGTACTGGGGCTTGAACTCAAGGTCTACACCTTGAGCCACTCCACCAGTCCTTTTTTGTGATGGTTTCTTCAAAATAGGGTCTCACAAACTATTTGCCTGGGCTGGCTTTGAACTGCAGTCCTCCTGATCTCTGCCTCCTGAGTAGCTAGGATTTCAGGTGTGAGCCACTGGCGCCAGACTGGTTTGTATCTTAATGTCCCCAAAAGGCTCATGTGTTGAAGGTTTCATCCTCAGCTATTAGAGGTGGTGGAAACATTAGAAGGAAGGGCATAGTTGCAAGAAGTTAAGTCATTGGGTAAGATGAAGGCATTATTGGCACACTGTAATTTCTCTCTCTCTCTCTCTCTCTCTCTCTCTCTCTCTCTCTCTCTCTCTCTTTACCTCCCCCTTCCTAGTTGACTTGAGGTGAACAGCTTGCCCATCACATGTACCCCGCCATAATGTCTGATACCATGTGCCAAAATAAAGTTTTCCTCCTTTTAGGAAGGAGAGAGAACATTCTCTCTCATTTTTCTGAAATGAAAAAGCTGTTTTACTTATTCTTTGTGGGATTTTTTTCTTTTTCTTTTCTTTTTTTGGCAATATTGGGGATTATATACAGGGCCCCCTGCAGGTTAGGCAGGCATTCTAATACTTGAGCCTTCCATACAGTCTTTTTGTTTGTATTTTGTTTTTCAACTAGTGTCACACTTACTTTGCCTGGTCTGAACTCCAACTCACAATCCTCCTACCTCAATTTCCCAAATAGCTGGAATTACAGGTATAATTCCAGCTTCCCTGGGGAACTTTAATGTGTAATACAAATTTGACATGGATAATCAAAAGTATTGCATGATTCCAGAGCACTCTATTTAATGTGGCAGAAACTCACTTTAAAATATAGCAGTAATGAATTTTGCTAATACACATAGAAAACATACACTGTTAAAACACGATGCATCTTTACTAATTTTGAAGGTATTGATAGAAAAAGAACTTTGCAACCTGTGTGGGAGACTTTTGTCCCTACACATGGAAAAGAAGTGATACTGTACATAAGAAAAACTATATTAGGAACATAGATTCAGTGTCACTAATCCAACAATCTGAAACTTGCAATGCTCCAAAATCCAAAGAGCTACAAAATCTGAAATTTTCTGAGCTCTGACATGATGTGACAAGTGGATTATTCCACTCCAAAATTGTTCAAACTATTATATAGCATTACCTTCAGGCTAAATACATAAGGTATATAAAGAACATAAAAGAATTTTGTGTCTCAACTTGGGTCCACAAAATATCTCATTACACAAAATGTAAATATTCCCAAATCTGAAAGAATTTGAAATCCAAAACACTTCTGATCCCATGCACTTTAAACAAGGGATACTAAACTTGTAATAACAAGGATGATGACTTTTAAATTTTTAACAAATATTTATTTAGCATCTACTTATATCCTGTCAATGAAAGAATGAATTGAGACCCTGTCAAAAGACAAAGTTCCTTTGTAGAAGGCCAAGAAGGAAGTACTTCTACTATCTAATTCCAGAACAGTCTATACTGAAATCTGAAACAGTAGAAGAATAAGTCATGAATTTTCTTTTAAAAACTGAAGCTGGGCAAGGTGGCTCATGCTTATAATCCCAGTCCTTCAGAGAATGTGGCAAGAAGATCACAAGTTCAAGGTCAGTTCCAGCTCTGCAGAGAATTTAAGGCAAGCTTGAGCTACATAGTAAGATATGTCTCAGAAAAGAAAAGCAGAAAAGCACTGAAAAAGGTTCTCAGACAAAGAATGAGTATTTTAGGAGAAATTTCAAAATTGGGCAGAGGGAGACTAGATAATTTCTGAAATTCCTTACAAACTCAACATATATGATTACAATTCAGTAGTGTGTACTCAGCACTAAAAAGAACTATGAAAAATAATCATATTTTTAACAAGTTAAAAGAAATATATTTCAGTTCTAGAAGTCTAAACAAAGCCTTCGGAATCCAATCATGCTATTTAAATCAAGCACTGAAAAGGTACTAAATGTACTTAAAAACTTTAAAATAGCAGCTTGATAAGGAAATAAGTAATTGGTCTCTAGGGTATCGAGATGTTAAAAATGTAGTTAATATTTTTCAAAAATAAAACACAACCTGAAGCTTTTTTCTTTGCCTTGATGTTGCTAGTGCTTGTGGTATACATTTAATTTAAATAGATAGCATGCAAAAAGTTGATATTTTTACTCAAAATTGTAAGAAGAAATACACTTTAAACAGCAAATACATTATTTAGTTCAAGGTATTAAAAAGAGTAGATAGCATTACCAGTTGTTTTTCACAGTACATAGCACATTAAATAGAAAATAATTTTTCAATGGCTTAACTAAAATGCTACAGCAAATCTCGTTTGATGTAGGCCTCATTTGCCCATCCAGGAAACCTCATCAATAAAAAGGCATCAATTATTTTTCATGTTCATCTGCTCAAGTATTTCTCCCAGAAAAGTTGCCAAAAAAAAATGAAAATTAATACCCAAAGCACGAACAATCTCTTATTAAAAAAAGTTGAGATGATAATGTAACTTTCTGAGAGTACAAAGATGTCTTTTCACTGATAGAGCTTAACATAACGCAGTCAACCAAGAAGTAAGTTACAAATTTTACCTACCTATTCACACTCTTGATAACTGACAAGGAAACACATTGCTTAAGAATAGTTAGTCACATATACTTAAAATAAATATTTAAAGTAATATACGAGAAACATGTAAGTTGTTTAAAAATCTCAAATATTTACTCTCATTATTTTGATTCCTTAGAATGATTGTGCTCATGTTATACCTGACAAGAATCTGTTATGAATGTGAGTCAATGCCCTGTATAGCTATCCTTATCTCAACCAGCAAAAACCCTTGTTCCTTCCTATTATTGCTTATACTCTCTCTACAACAAAATTAGAAATAAGGGCAAAATAGTTTCTGCTGGGTATTGGGGGGGTAGAGGGAGGGGGCGGAGTGGGTGGTAAGGGAAGGGGTGGAGGCAGGGGGGAGAAATGAACCAAGCCTTGTATGCACATATGAATAATAAAAGAAAAATGAAAAAATAAATAAATAAATAAATTTTAAAAAAAGGAATCTGTTATGACACAGAAACAGATGATACAGAATTAAAAACACTGAATGTCATTAGCACTTTCCCATTTATCTTTAAGAATGTTTATTTTTGTATCAAATCCCTACCTTCTGTCTGGAAGAAAGTAAATTTTAACATAAGGATTCCTTGGCCTCCCATCTTCCCTGGAAGGGAGATCCTTTGCCCCCAAAATCGTAACTATTAACTGGTGACCAACCTTGTCAAACCACAGTTTTATCTGAAAAGCAAAAAATATTCATTTATCAGCTCAAACATTTAAAATTACAAGTTTACATTTCCAATCTCAAAAACAATATCATACTCTAATATCAACACAGAATCTAAATCTCACTCAGTAAACTGTGATTAATTAAATAAAAGGATATACCATAATAACTTCAATAGAAAAAGAATTAATTCAGATATTTTAGTTCCACTGATAAATGACATGGGCCTTTTATATCATAATGTGACTGCTTATTAATGTTGACACAATAATTATACTATGTAATTAAGGACTTTATATACAGTGGTTATCTATATCTTTTCTTACGCAAAAATCATTGTGGTTCATTTGAGTACCCAAAATGAATTGAGTTGGTAATAACTTATTTATATGGCATTTAAGGGGCATTTTCAAGCAAATGTTTTATGTCAATCTAGAGCAAAAATATTTCAAAGATTATAAGACAATGGAACTTACTAACATCCTTAGTCAACTGATTCCTTCAGGTTGTACTTAAAACTATAGTAAGTTTACCTTTTACAATTTTTCGTCTTTCTCTTGTGAAGCAAATGCACCACATTCTCGGAATAATAAGTATTCATTAGTTTGAGATAAGAAAATGTGAATATTTCACTGTGCCATAATTAGGGATTAGAACCTCACAGCTGGCTGCTGAGTCCTTCTCACCTGACACTTAAAACCTCCTACACAGGAACTTCACTCTTAACTAGCTGACTTTGCATCACAAGTACCTGGGATAACCATGGCTCTTGATCCACTATCTAAAAAATAAAATGAAAATTTGGAACTGGAGAATTACAAGTGAGAACACTGGCAGTTCCGTTCCAGTTCCACCATGGCTTTGCTGAGTCTCGCACTTTATTTCTACAGAATGAGAGGTCAGCAGCTTTGGAGTCAGAAGACTGACAGTACAAATGGCATATGAAGTTATCTATATACGCCCTTTTGTTGCTAAAAGGACTTAGTCCTGTAAGAGGAACGTAAGGAAGAAACACCTAAAATTTAAAGAATTATAATTACTAGTCTTTATGTTGAGCTAAGCTTTTATGTTTAATGTAGCTATTATCTTGTTACTGTGTAACAAAAAGTTTTCCTAAGATAGCTGCTAAGGTCAAAAATAGACCCTAGATAATTTTCTGTGTTTACTGAATCTCCTGCAGCAGTATTATCTGACATTTGTTAAAAAGTTATATATTTCTGGGCCCATCTCTCACCCACTGAATCAGAATGGGATCTCTGAATTTGAATTTTAACAACTGTTCCAGGTAATCCTCATCTCCATTAAAATTGGAGAGCCAGGACCTTAGACCAAGAAGAAAAATGTCACCAGTATTTGAGAGCCAAAAAGTTAAATATTTGCTTGCCTAATAATTTTAGAATATACAATACAGATCATGATAAGGGAATAGGGAGAAACGAAACTATTTCCTATGGCAAAAGCCATGAGAGGAAAAGAAAGAAAAAAATGCAGATGTCTCACTGTACATGAGATGAAAGAGATGTAGACAGTGTCACAGTTTCTTTAAGACATGTGACCAATATTTGATTGAATTCTATGATATTTTCTATTTTTATCAGTAAAAGCAATGTATATAGCTTTATTTTTTACAAGATATTAAAAAATTCTCAACTGAGAACAACGCAAATACTAGACACAACTAAGGAAAAAGATGCTAAAAAGTAAATTTTTTCCCAACAGTTTAAAATTAAAACAGAAATAATGATTACTAGGAGGCTAAGCTCACAAATATTTGACCAAATTACTGATTTCTGTTAGAATTTTTAAGGGGTTGAGAGTAAACATTAGTTGCCATCTTCAGAGGCAATAATTTTGCTGAATTAAAATCATTAAAGCTAAAACATTTAAGTTATATATCAAAAGTCTAATAATGAGTAGTATCCTTTTGAAACTTCCCTATGTCATGGAAAACCAAAACTAGTAATATTATCATTTCTCATACAAACAGATATCACATATATGGCTTTCATATTTTTATAATAGTTAACTAAGTTATACTTTCTAAATGTGTAAGTATTAAAATAATTTAGACAGAGAAAAATTATATTTTAATTTTACTGATAATTTGATCAAAACTGAACATTTTAATGAAGTACCTTACATTGGGTATTTCATAGGCCAAATTTTCATTTTTCATTTTTGTAGGACTTGCATTGAAGTTTTTAATAGATATCCAGGTCATGTCATATTTAAATAGCGAGGATATTTTATCATATTCTTGAATTGCTTATCTTATCTGTGCTTTTAAAAAAATAACTAAAATATAATTGATTCTCTCAAATACAACAAATACATCTTCACAATTGTACAGCTGATGATCTCTGTGTTCAATTAGTTTCATTGGTAAAAATCTTGGTATCATTTTAATTGTTTATGTGACTATCCTCCCAGCTTCACCTTGTAACCACTTCTAACTTTCCAGAACAGCACATGTAAATATTTTTATATTGTGTAATATTAATGGGAATAATCTTGATTTTTTAAATGTAAACAAAATAAGTACTATTCAAAGCCAACACATTTTTAATAACATGCAGCAAAGCAAGGAAGGAATACTACTTTTAAAAACATAACTATTGACATTACTTTACCATGTAAAGGCTTCCTAATGAAAAGAGGCAAATAACTTGTACCCAAGTATCACAGTGAATTAAATGGAATGATAAAATATAAACAAAATGAACCCAACACATTTTATTTGGATTGTGATTTTGTTCTTTCAATGTTATATACTTCCAAAAGTTGAACCTTACATACAATATGCAAAAAAAAAAATTGTGGTTTAAACAAGGTACAAATATATTTGCCAGTCTCCTCAAGGAGTCATTGCTTGGAAAATGCAAAAGAATGTAGATGTTAGGAGGTACAATGAACGATTTAAAGAGACAGCAACCTTTGTGTTGAATAGAAAATTAGCTATTTCTATAATGTCACATACTTAAATAGAATCTACAATGAATTGACATTAAATGCCACTTCGACACCTACAAATTTCAGTATTTTGTTTATCTCATAAATCACTAACAACAATTGTCTCTTTAAATTTTTATTTAGTATTCTAATCCCCATGCAGAATTTTACAAGCTGACTCATAAAATGATTTGAAAGTCAATAATATGGTTTGGAGCAACATACCAAAGTAAGTTTTCCTACTACGCATTTTCCAAAAACATACAAATAAGGGATAAGACACAACTTTAGTTTCTATCAGGCAGACAAGGCCTTTACCTGAACCCTAGGAACAAAAGGCGTTGTTCTTCTACTAAGGCTTTGGCTCTGGTAAGCAAAATTAAAGAAAAAAGCAATAAAACAAAACCAAAAAAGACAACACACTGGAACTAAAAGACCAAAAGTAAAAAGAAACACATAAAACTATCCCTCAAATATAATATTTCCATACAGCATTTATTTAAATCAAGTACTTCATTGTAATGAATGAATATTGCCAAATGCTAAAATACATTAAAAACTATATAAAATATTAAATTTATTTAATCAGATTTTTTGAATATAGTCAACATAACAGAATTAAGACTGAATGTTAAAACATATTCGGATTTCTGTGTTCTGAGCAAATGATTTTAAGTCTAATCTAAGAATTAAGAATTTAAAATTTTACCTTAGTCACAGTATCCATGGGGATTGGCTCCAGACCCCCCATAAATACCGAATCCATGGCACTCAAATCTCTTATGTAAAAGGCATAGAATTTGCATAAAACTTACACACATCATCCTTTATGCTTTAAGTCATGTCTAGATTACTTATAACACCTAATACAACGTAAATCAAACACTTTTGATCCACAGTTGGTTGAACACACGAATTAAAAAAACCCACAAAGATGGAGGGTCAACTGTACATAGAAAAGGGTATTCGAAAACAATTAGATGAAAAAAGTATTGAAGTATTAATAAAAAGCCATCTGTGGAAATAATTATATATCTCCTTGAAAATGATACAAGGTTAACCATAGTCCAAAAAACATCAGCCAAGATGGCTTCAGAATTACTTAAAAAAGAAAAGCATCCAGAGAAGAGTGCTGGAATGCACTGAGTTAACTGCTTGATTCATATCTTAAAAATCTGTTAAATTCTTGCCACTGAACACCATCTTCAGACATTTATTGTCCACCACTCAAGATAATCATTTGTTGATAATCATGACTACTAAAAATATCTCATTTTAAAAATGTATATGGTTCTTTATATTTTTTCCAAGTCTTTATTGACAATTTTTTTGCCTCATGATATTCCCAACAACTGTAGGAGGTACTTGCTATTACCCAATGCTCAGGTGAGGAAACTGAAGACATAAGAAAGGTCTAGATATGTTTGCTAATACTCTTAAAAAGTATGCTGATACAAAAGTACCACTCTGATTAAATCACTCCTTTAAATTCTCAGAATAAAATTAAATTTCTTTTATCCTTTTTTTGGCCTTTATTTTGGAACCATTTCAAGAAAACACCACAATAATCAGAATTCAGGCATGCCAACAGTTAAATCAGGAACAAAACCAGGTGCATATCTTTGGGTTTGAGAATGGATTTAAGGACATTTAATTTGCTTCTGCCTCCTAGATTTCATCCCATTCCTCATTTCTTATGGATGTCTCTTCTCTCCTTCAGAGTCATAAATAGTTAAAGCCTTCTTTCTGTCTTTCCCATTACGACATGGAAATAGACAATGAGCATAGGCGCACTCGTCCAATTCAACTCTTACTGGACAGACATGATTTAAGGTGCAAGCCTAAAACCCAAAGAAAGACATTTAATTTGCTTCTGCCTCCTAGATTTATCCCATTCCTCATTTCTTATGGATGTCTCTTCTCTCCTTAGAGTATAAATAGTTAAAGCCTTCTTTCTGTCTTTCCCATTACGACATGGAAATAGACAATGAGCATAGGCGCACTCGTCCAATTCAACTCTTACTGGACAGACATGATTTAAGGTGCAAGCCTAAAACCCAAAGAAAGACTTTAAAAGCAGACTATTACTCAGTCATGAGTCATCTTTCTCTCTCTCCAAAAGCCAAGGAAGTCAAAATCTGAGCTTTCTTCCATTTTGTACAGAGATATGCCCAAACGAAGAAATGTTCAGATATGGAGTGTGTTAGTGATGTCTGTCTGCATAACACTGGGTAGATAATTCTTTGGCAAATGGTGGGGGGGGGGCGTTATTAGAGATTAAGCAGACATGCTGAAAAAGGGACTAACAGGTACTCTAGAACTAGGTTTCATTTTCCCTGCCCTCCCACCTGTTCTGTTTTAGACCAATATATCAAGGTAACAAAATATTTTTATAAGTAAATAGGACCTTATTAAGTAAAATATTTACTATAAAAGGAATAGTATTTTAAAATAAATCTTCTAAAGTGACTTTAACCAACTCATGCAGATTTGTAAAATAAACCTTTTTAAATCCTAATCCCCATCTAGGAATTTACCCTTTAAATACAACTATAAAAACACATTTTGTGTTTAGGTCCTTCTTTTAAATTGACTTGAAATTCGCAAAACATACAATTAACCACGTTAAGGTTTACAATTCAGTGGTGATTGCTGCATTTGTAACGCTGTGGAATCATCACTTTTTTCTACTTTCAAAACCTTTTCATCACCCCGGAAAACACCCTGTACTTTCAGTAACTATTCCTTATTCTTCCATCTTGCTGTTCCTTAGGAGCCACTAAGCTGCTTTCTGTCTCTGTGGATTTAAACGCCTGATACAGGAATGGGGAGGTACAAGACTGCTTATTGTAACTACATTACTATTAATTCATCTGCTCAAGCATGACAGATCTGAAATAAAGGAGTTGCAATCTGTTTTGCATTTTTGATGTCACTTCCAACTGTTCATTATGCACCTCTTTCATGCATGCTTCAAGAAAAACAGATTTGTGACAATAAATATGAAGAAAGATTAGAAATCAAAGAAAAAAAACTTTCATTTTTTGAACATTTTTAAAAGATTCTGGAGTTTCTAAGGACAAATTAAAGGTATCTCTGTTCTTAAGTGACTTACTCTCCTTAAATGGGCATATAAAATGAATATGTACAATATTTACTAAAACTGGAGTTAAAATATTAAAATTAAGTAACTTAGGGAAATTTTGCAACCAGAATCAACCACAGACTCTGTAGTAAAAAATAAAAAAATAATTGCCAAAGAATCAATTGTGTAATGAGCTCCTATGGGAAGAAGTTGCGTTTTTTCTGAATATCAACAAACTAACCAAAGACTGCAAGTTAATTTAACAATATTAATTAGAAAAGTAATCTCTGTTAAATTCTAGAGTATAAATTTTTAAAAATCAAGCTAAGATAGTGCAGTGGATGAAAAGTGTAACACAAACTTCAGGTGGCAAAACTTGAGCTCATACTGATTTTTTCATAGGCTCCTTCATGCCCATGTTCTTGAATAATAAGCAGTCACAGAATTCAAGCTTGGAGAGAAAATAAATTACAGACATTTAAAAAAAAATCAATAGCTTTGAGCATAAAAATGTAAACAAGAAAAATATATATTTGTACATTTTCTTTTTGAGAAAACATCAGTTCAGGAACTGAAGTTCATCTCACACGCTATACAAATTATCTTCATTTTCAGGCATTAGCAATGTGGTGATTTTGTAAGTGAGATATGAGCTCAAGGAGAATCCCACTCATAGCAAAAATGTCCAAAGGAAGAACAGAAGAGAATGGGAATGTCATGCTGCATGTCAGTTCCTAAGGGTTTTATCAAAGATTGAAATAGAGACATTGTTTATTTTAAATCCCTACATCATTATAGCAAACCAAAATCATCTCCTATCTGGCAGAGACAATATGTGTTTGTATAAATGTTCCTGGGTACAAAGAAATTGCATAAAATTAGTAAGTTATATGAGCATAAAAACCATTCTACCTTGTTTATTTATCTTTCTGATGCCTGGTACTGTTGGCAGTAGTCGTCCTACTTGTGACGTAGGCTAGTAACTTAACATATATTTCTTAAATAGGTAAAAAGAATTGTAGGAAAAAATCAGGAAATACATTTTATGAATCTTAAATTTTTACTTTACCTTCATACTGTAATTTTATTTCTGGAAAGTTATCCTGAAAAATAATCTTGACCTAGCAAATATATTCAAGGATTTCCTTTGCATCATTATTTATAATAATATAAATTTAAAAACAGCAAAATATCATACTATAAAGTTAAAATGAAATTAAGTTCAAATGAAGTATTAAATAGCTATCGAAATTATTTTAAGAGGAATTTTTAAACATAAGAAAAAGCTCACAATATGTTACTACATGAAAAAGCAGTATATGCAAAATGGTATGCACACATTTATCCAAGTTTTGTTTAAAAACTTATATGCACGTGGCTGGTCATGTTTTAGTGTCAGGATAAAAGGTCACTTGTTTCTATACTTTCTATTCTTCCCATAATAAACATGCTGTATATTTATAACCATTGTCTTTTATGTATATGAATGACGTGTGTGGTGTGTGTGTGTGCGCATGTGTGTGTGATTTCAAAGCATGTGCAGTTATAGTGGAACATATTCCTTCTAATCATAAGAAAATGGGAAAATGGTATGCACATTAAATCACAGTTACTTGTATTTTAAGCCAACATCAATCATAAATTTACAGGCTATAACTTTAACCAGTCTTACTTTTTTACCCTATTGATTATGAGTCATGAGGAAAAAATAGTTGAATTTGAAATTTCTCTAAATCCCTGCCCTTTGCTCCTCATCTTTCCCTTCTAGTCCAATTTGTACAGGACCTTGAAAGTGGAAATGACATAACAAAGTAGTATCTAATATGGAGATCTAGTGTTCGAAGCCTCCCCCATCAACTCAAGCCAACTGCACACACACACACACACACACACACACGCACACACAGGGATTTATTTATTTACTGGCATATCCAGTCCTCCCCAAATATTATTTAAAGATGACCTATTTAAATGAAGTCATAATTTTAAAAATTGCTAAAATGTGTTAGGTTTCCTAAGATGGTAGAGGAAAACACACATATCTGTAACTACAAATGACAACATATGTGCTGTCCATAGACTTAACAGAGTAAGTAGAAAGATGCTACTCATTGTAGAGAATGGAAAAAGTCTGTTTTTCTCCAATGAAAAAGTTCACTCTATTTAAGAAAGAGAAAGGAAAAGAAACAAAGGAAAAACTTCATTTAGTGAGACATTTACAATCTCCTAATAATATTTGCTTTGTTTCTTTTATAACTTTTCTGTTATTGTGGTCAAAAGTGTTTCAGAAAGGACATGTTTACTAAGTACTTGAATAATTTTTAAGTTCTTAATTTTGCTTATACTTCTTCTATCTCCTTTTAATGAATAAAAACACTTCAGAAAAGTCAAACACCGCCTCTTCCACTAAAACTAAAAGGAGAAATTTCATAGCTGATTATTTAAAAAGCTACCTCTAGTGCTCTTAAAATACCAGCCCAAAATAGGTTAGCTTTTGAAATTGTAACATTGTTCAATCAAAATTCAATGTCTGTATTTTGAGACCTTTAATAGCTCTGTAGTGCTCATGAAATTCCAAATTTAGTATTCATCAGCATTGCTGGCAATTAGTATAACTGCATAAATTTGAATATATTAATATATTAAAATGCCCTGATAATGAAATGACAAATGAAAAACTGAATAGAAAGTGAGGACTTAAATTTTCAAAGCTCTTCTAATATGGACATGATATAGAATGTATAATTAATCTTTCAGCTCTTATTAGAAGATGTGCAAAAGACAAAATAATGGGAAATTACCTAGTAAATTCAGGAATCTATTATAAATGTCCCCAATATTTGGTTTTGTCTATTGACAAAAACATCTTTAGCATCCTTATTTTCAGAACAACTTACAAAGCTGATGATTATTATGAAATTCATCTCAAATTTCTTAAGTTTGAGAAGCATGGAAGGATACATAAATATTTATTTATGCCTGAAATAAAACCTTTGTATAGTGCAACATTTTTATTTCTCTTCAGAATCTATGGCAATTTATAGTCACTTTAAAGCATAAAACAAAACGATGACCTTGAATTTTGGAATAATTATGGAGGTTAAATAAAAGGCTTTAAGTATGTTGACAAAATATACTTCTCATTAAATTCCAGGAAATCTAACTGTACTAAAGAAAGCATTATGATAAATAATCAAAATTTAATTTGAGCTATTTAAAAATGAAAAGAATGTTTAAAAGCACAATTATGCTCTAGTTAGAACTTGGTTTACCACAAGCTAGCATCATATTTCAAAAACACCATTGAATATTCCCAAAAGAGATGAAGTTAGTGATTACATACTGAAAGTTGTCCAGATAAGAACTGTGGAACATCCCTCAACATGCCAGGACTCATTGGCGAGGTAACGGAAATAGAAGGACGATCCATTTTTTGAGATTCAAATGAGCTAGAACCTGAAATGTAATCATACATAAAGAATAATAAAAATGGTTCTTTACTCTTTAAGAACCTTTACCATATATCTTTAAATGTCATTATACAGACCATTTATAACTATCCTTAGAAGTTTTTGTTACTGTTTTAAAGCATAAGTGCAGTTTAGGGATTCTTTGAAGACCAACAGTGACCAATGTTTTGTGCTGATGATAACAAAGACAGGTCTCTAAGTCAGGATGTGGTTACTTTGTTATGTGGACTACACTCATACCTTACAATCACATATTAATAATTTTTAAAACAGAAATGGATAAATAACCAAAACATAAATCAATTTAATGACAGTTTAAACTTTAAATGCTAAGAGATGGATTTTTAAGCCATATCTTGAAGAATATAAGTTAGACTGGCAAAAGGAACCAAGGGGATAAGAAAAACAATACACAATAGAAGAAAAAGCAGAACCACAATACCCAACAGTTCTATGTATGAGTTTGTTCTATGAAGGGAAGGCATAAGTTAGAAAGTGAGTAGAACTGGGGATAATAGAATAATGGCCGAATTATTTGCCTGTAATTCTAAACTATGCATTTTAGCACCAATAAAAGGTCAATAGTAAGCTTTAGTAAGTGAGAAAACAAAATCGTGTCCGGGGAACATGCCTTACACCTATTTAAAGTGTAGACTGGAATGAAAAAAAGATGAAAGACAGTTAAGAACAAGCAGGAAAGGTTCTATGAGAAAGGAATGAAAAGAAGGAATTCAGTTGATATCATGAAACAGGAAAATGAAGACTGGAGGGCTGGAGAAGTGGCCCAGTGGTAGAGCACTGGCCTAGAATGCATAAGGCCCTGAGTTTAATCCCCAACACCACTGGGGGAAAAAAAGCAAAAGAAAATGAGGACTCAGAACTATTCGATGCGAAAAATAAAGGAAAAAGAGGGGAAGAATTAAGATTTCAAACCTAGTAACCAAATGTGGGGTTAAGAAGGTCCCCTAGGTGTCTGTTGTGTTCTCTGGAAATTCAAGTACTGATGTTCACTGGGATGTACAACACCGTAGAACACCTGTACTCAAGGAAACAGGTAGGTGGAGAGGGGTATGGGGAGAGAACAGAACTTATTTTGAAACCACAGTGACGAACTTACAGCACCTTAGATGTCCAAGGTAGATGTAAAGAAAGAACCTAGAAATGTGGATGTGACCAAATGTCAGAGCCAAGCCTAGTGTTAGAAATTAACTGGTAGTTATGTACCACTTGGAGATGCAAGTGGATAAAATTCACCTCAAGAGAGAGTGTCACGTAGTATTAAGGGGAAACAAAATGTCTTGAGATGAATATAATGGTGATTACTTATATGCTAAATAGAAGTAGAAAGACTGATGCCTTCATTGAAAGAAATAAGTTAATCTTTAACTGTAACTTATAAACTAGCAGGAAGACACTTCACAGAATGTATTCTCCCACCATCTAAGAATGAAAGGACATTGATAGATCCTTTTGATAATATAAATTTAGGATCCTTTTGATAATATAAATTTAGGAGACAGATAACTGGCAATTAAACCCACAAGAAGCAAAGAATTTATTGAGGTACCAGAAATAGAGATTTAAAGGCTAGGTCTTCGAATCCTATTATTCAAAGGATGAAAAAATTGGATCTCTTTCAAGAGTCTCTTGAGGAACTATTTTAGAATTGTAGGTCTTTAAAAAAACAGCTATTAGATAAAGAATTCCACACTGCTCACACAGTATCTGAGTGATAATGTAAGTGAGTAAAAGTTTTACCTGCCCCTGTTGTAAGAATTGTGATACTATAGATACAACAACACAGTTGCAAGTACTAAATACACAAAAGCAGTGAAGATGATAATAGTAGCATTATACAATAATATTTATTATGTTAGAGTTTTATTATGACCACCACTGTCTTGCCACTGGATAATCAAAATAATCCTGTCACTGGTCTTTCTGCTTTACTCTTGACTCCATCTGACTACTTTCAATACAGTAGCAAAATTTTAATATGCAAATATCCCCTCGAAAACATCTTCTAGAGTTCTCAGTTTCCCTCAAAGAGAAAGCCAAAGTCCTTCAAATGGTTTATGGTGCCTCCCCACTTTGGTTGCCCCCATATCCTCCTTTCTATTCTCCCCCTAGCCCACTGCACTCAGCCACACTGGCCTTGTGTTTCCTTAAATGCACCTGTGGCTTTCCCATACCTGTGGTCTCTGTACCTGGAAAGCTTCCCTCAAACAGCCATTCTTTCAAATGTTGTTCTTGTCCTTTTTCTCAGTTTGGTCTGTCCTGATCATGGTGTTTCAAATTGCAGTCCTCCTCCTAGCTTCCCATATCCCTTCCTCTACTTCTACTCAATCAAGAAACTTAGTTCATTGGAAAACAATTCATTTGCTAATAGTACTCAAAAATGAGTAATAAAAACTTTTCACAAATATGGAATATTTAAACATGTATGTCTATTGTTACATTACTGCTTTGATGTTAAATTAGAACTATTATCCTGTTTCCCAAAAATATAAATTAAAACAATACAATTATTCACTTATTTGTTCTAAGCATTTCCTGCTATTTGCTGACAGTAGGACTACAAAGCAATAAATTTTAAAATTGGGGGAATCTTTGGGAGTGAAACTTTGGTGACCAATGGTATGTTCACGAGTTTTTATTGCACTGATGGCTGCACAGGGATCTAAGTATGCCAAAATTTGTCTCATTGTGCACTTTAATTGTGTAGTTTATTGTAATATGCCTTAATAAAGCTATCTAAAAATCTACAGTAAAGACAATGTGGTTAAAGAAAAGCATAAATTATTATAGAATTTTGTATCTTTACCCACAGTGACATAAAAAAATACATAGTTTTCCATTGTTATATAGTTACATATGTGATAACAAGTTTCTTATATTTCCAACTTCATATTAATAGGCAAAATACTTCATTGTGACATTATTAATGGTATATCCTTCTAGCATAGATAAAACTTACTGGACTCCAGTTGTACATGTGTGCTATCAGGTATTCTAGGTATATCTCTGAAATGATAGAAAAAGAGAACAAGAAACTGTTTCAACAACTAATGCAACTGCAATTTTGGTCATTATCTACTAATATAATAACTGAACAGTGAAAACTTGTGTATGGCAGATGCATTATATAAATAAGAAACAAGCACTTTTTTGTGCTAATAAAAATTCAAGGCTAACTTCAAACATACAAAGAAACTCAAACTCATACACACTTGTTGCAGACACAGAAAAACATGTACTTTATTTTCTCAGTGCATTGGACAAAACTGTCCACTCTAAAAAGTTCTGTATTCAACAAAATAAGATTTACAGGAACATTTTGATTTTATTCTACTCTCTATTTTTTTTTAACTCATACTCAAAATCAGTAGCAGTGAAACTCAAAGTATTGCCAAACCAAAAATTCAAATATTCAGATTGTAGCGAAAACTTTTAAATGTATTAACTTCATTGAGAAAAGGCAAATTTTTATTGGGACTTTCAAAGTTACTTTGTAACTATATTTACCCCAAATATAAGTATACTTATTTCATAGGAGAAGTAGATATTCACAGTTAAGGTGACTGAGAAAATTTTCTGGAAGACATTGTTTGAAATAGTAAGCAAAAATATGATTTAAAGACACTGTAATACCAAGAAATATATTTGATCAAAACACAAAACTACATGGCAGTTTTACCATATTATCAAACTGTGAAAAGACAAAATGAAAAATGGATACAATTTCAAGTGCCAGATTCATTGAAACATTTTAATAAAATTAAGCTACCACCTAAATAACTTTCTCTAGCATAAAGAGAGAGAGTAAAATAATACAGATCAATCATTTTCAAAATGAGTGAAAAGTGGCCATTATACTTTTATAACAAAAAAATTTCTATAGCCTCCACCCAGGAACCTTCCTACCCAAATACACATTTAACGATCAAGGGTCAACTTATGTGTTTTTCTACTGCTTTTATTCTGACATAGGCAGATTCTTTTATATGGAATAGAATAAGTTTCTATAGAGAAAATACTACTGGACTTTTTAATGAATGATTTTCATAATTTAGGTTGGAATGTTACATTTACTGACACATTTTGGAAATTTGATGCATAGGCTTTAAATTATAAAGACAAATAATGATTTGATATTTCCCGACTTTGGAACTTTTTAATCACTGCTGTTTGAAGAAATTGTTTTTCCTTAAACGAGTCCATTTGTCTGGAAATTGCACACCCTTTAGTCCTTTCTTTCCAAGGTTGGAATCTCCATTTTGAAAGAAATATACGTGATTTGCGGACTATAGTTAGTCATCACTTTTATACTATAGACACCACAGTTCAGGCATCTTAGCCAAAAGTACTAGTTTCCTCCCTTTACTAAACATTGCCATATATTAAATTGCTAAGATGAGAAAAAAATTTTTAAACGCCTATTTCTCCTTCTTTTGTAATTATCTGTATATTCTATTGTAGTGAGAAAAAGAAAAGTCATAATTTTGGCAAAGAAGGAGTAACATCTACAAAACAATTTGTTCTCATAGAGCCATCAGACATTTTTGGATTGCACAGTACCAATAGCTTAATAGTGGTCAGCTTACACACAGATGGTGCTGAAACCCACTTACCCAATGGGCCTGGAAACTACAAGCTCCACCTGTGGTTCAGGCTTGGATTCCAGGATGATGTTGTACACCTCCTCAAATGTGGCTCCTTGCAACAGCCTCCCGTTCCATTCTAAAACTTCGTCACCTAGTGTCAAAAGTAATCATCTTATAAATAAAAACTAAGCCCACAAAACAAGAGTTTCACTGAGCTCCATAAGTTACAATCACCATTATGAAATACAAAACATTCTGAGAAAAACTCCAGTGGCACCAAATTTGGTGGCTTGGATGCCAAATTTCACTCAAAAGGATAATGGTCACAAATTATCACAAAACACAAATACATAAAAGTTATCTCTATTTCATTTCTTAACAGGAATTATAATTGCAGATAACTATCAAGATCAGCTGTCTCTTTAAAGATTTAATGACTGAATCTAGGTTGCCAATACTTATGCAACCGAGTACCTTGTACTCTTCAAGGGGTTTCCATTGTCTAAACTTATGCAAAAAGCTCAATATTTAGAGCTGGGCATGGTAGTACATGTCTAATACCAGCAAGTTGGGAGGTTTAGATCAGGAGGATCGTGGTTCAAGGCCATCATGGGCAAAATGTTACCAAGACTGACTCAATCAACAAGCCAAGTGTGGTGGTACACACATGTAATCCCAGCTCATTGGAAGGCATAAGTAGAAGGATCAAGGTCCAAGGCCAACCCCGGGGAAAAAGGTAAAACCTTATATGAAAAATAACTAAAGCAAAAAAGTAGGGGAGAGCTGGGGTATGGGTATGGCTTCAGTGGTAGAGCACCTGCCTGGCAAGCAGGAGGCCCTGGTTTAAACCATAGTACTACACACACACACACACACTAATTAGCATCTTATCAAATCCTCTTGAGGAATTCAAGAATTTCTCCAATGATTCCACATGATATGCAGTGACACAGTTTAGGAAATATGCATTTAATCATGAAGTTTGTTTCCTAAATTTTTCAAAGGAAAAATAAAACTTACCTGAGACAAAGTAAGAAAAGAGTAGATGCAAGTTAAGATATTTATCACTAAAAAGGTAAGATCAGTAAATATAAAAGTTGATATCTAAGATGACTCAATAAAAAGCACATATTATTTCCCATTAATGAGCAAAGATTTATGCATAAATGAAATGAATTCTTTATTCTGGATCAAATCATTCTTGACTGAGGATAATGTCCCTTAATTCCTCATATTTAACATTTTAAATGTAAATAGCCAACAGCAGACACCTACCTGGCCTAAGATGCCCTACAGTATCCGCTAAACTTCCTTTTTTTACTTTGGTAATAAATGCACACAGCCGACCTGATTCAGTCATTTTTCCTCCTACAACCTGTTTAAAAGAGGAAAGTATTTAAACTGTCATACTCATTAAATGAACTTAGTTGAAGATTCAAGTAAAAAATATCTGAGCAATTCACAGCTTCTAAAACTATAGTTTAATGTAGCAAAATCATGTCTTAAATAATAGGACATTGCTATTAGGAAGTGAACAGGTGCTCCCAAGAACCAACTCTTTTTACACATTCCAACTGTGCTGCAACTTAACTCATTATTTGTTGAAAATGTTGCATACCATAGAAATGATTTGAAATTTCTGTCTTTACTATAGAATTCTTATTTTTGTCACCTCAAAAAAAAACCCATTATTACTACTTAGCTATATAAACACTTCTAGTGATAAGTTTTAAATATTACAATATAAAATAGCAGTTACTTTTGCTATGCTCATAACATACACCAAATTTTCATTAGTAATCTCCTAGGTATTCTGACAATGTACATCATGATGAGGACTCTTTCTTGAGAAAATTCCAAAATCTGCTTAGTCTCAGAAGTAAGGTAAACTTTTGGCCACTGGCAGCCCAGTTTTTCTACTTTCAAGTTTCTGATAAAATATCTTTTAGGAAAAGATGACCCAAGCCTTGTATGCACATATGAATAATAATAAAAAAAAAAGAAAAAGAAAGTACTGTTCAGAAAAAAATGTGGAATCGTTTGTATATCTGTAAGATACCGGTCTCTTACAAAACTAGTGCTTTGATTCAAATCGACCACCATTCAATCGATACGTTGACTGAATAGTAGATAAAATAAATGATAGTAAGAAAATCCATTGACTAAAATAAATAGTTTGCTTCTTTTCTAAATTGATTGAAAGATATCTGAAATTAAAACATCTTTGAGTTATCTTGTTCCATAGATTTATTCCACTACTACAGTAAATTACACTTAGTTGTAACTCAGTGAATACTAACTGATTAGTCCTATGTTTCCCTCTGAAAATTAGTATGAGGTCTTATGGGCTTATATCCTCATATAAGTATTTAAAAAAAACTGTCTTGGCTTAACACACTTCAAAAATAGCAACTCTGCGGCTATTGTTATTAAAATCTTATAATATGCCAGACATGGCACCAAATGATTGTATTATGCTTTATTAAACCTCATTTTAACAATATGAAAAATACTATTAGCCTCAATGTACAGATGAAGAATTTCAGAGAACTGTCATTCAGCTGGAGAGTGCAATGACTGAAATTCAAGCCAAGAGTTCTTAATCTCTGAATCTCACTGCTTTAACATTATACCGGGAGAAACTGGATTTAACTCCCACTGCTGTCACCATCTGATGACCATGGACAAATGGCACTTCTGCCAGCCTATTCTCATCTACTATAAGTACTGAAAAAGATGACACATGTCAAATACTCAGATGCCAAATGCATGGAACCACTACTAAATGTTAGCTGTCCAGTTCCATCTACACCCCGGTTTCTCTAATATCCGTTGTTACCATATTCTCCAGTACAACTTCTGTGGCAAAGGCTCAACTCTAAAACTCTTCTATTTGGCACAAAACCAAACAGAGCTCTATTTGCTGAATTTACCAAGAATTTTCTAGAATTATACACCGATATTCATGTTTAATCTCCTCACATAATTATTGTGGGGTTTCCAGACTTGAAAGACTATTCTCAGGGATGAAGACAGAGCTCAGTAGTACAGGCTTGCCTAGCATGTGCAAAGCCCTGGGTTTGACTCCCAGCATCACAAAAAGTGGCAAAACAACAAAAAACAAACGAGTAAATATTCTTTCTCTTGAACATATGCACAAACACATTGTACTACATTACAACAAAAACTATTTTCTAATATAACGCTATTTTCTAATGTAACGTACATATTACATTCTCCCAAGTTTGCATATTGAATAACTAAATAAAACTGTGATTTTAATATAACATAAACACAGAGACTGTAGGTATAGCAGGTTTGTTTGATCATTAAGTTTAGGATTCAAATTCTTCCTAACCAAGTTACTATCAATGTCTTCCCAAACTGTAGAGATGAGTATTCTTGTGGAATAATGACAATTTCTTAAGTAATACTTGGAAAATGAGCAGTTTGGGATAATGACTGACAGCATTTGAGATTCTTGAAAATGCAAACAAATGCCCCTAGTTGGTACAGACAGAAGGAGTTGTTAGTGTTTGCTTCCCCTGAACCTGAAGTAGTGCAGGGCCGCACTCACGCAGCCTTTGCGTACCTTTAAGCCAAGCATGGTTCCTGAGTCCCGAGGCACACTCCCATCTTTCAGACGCTTATTTAACAAAATTCGACCAATTAAGCGATCTCCGTCTTTGGATGGCTGCCAGGTCACAGGGTGCTGACATTTTTCATCAACAAACAAGGAAAAATAATGTTTTTTCATGACAAAAGATGTTTGATTGTATACTATTTTCAAACTTCAGGATTCTAATGTGGTATGATTACACAAACCAATTTTACATTCCAAAACATGGAACAAGGAGTTTATTACATTACTCTTACAATCTCAATTTTATAATTTCAACTTCTTTTCAAAAATCCAATTCTGTCAAATCCTTCAGTTCTCTGACACAATACTGAAATACAGATCTACAAAATCGGATCAATCTTGAAAATATATGCAAACACTATTTACAGGCCACAGATAAATTCAAAACTTTTTAATTAAAAAGATATACTGAAATTCTGTGTAATTGAACTCACTAAAAATGAGAATTTCTTCTTCAAACACTTTTAGAAGATTTTGAAAGATTTTCATTAAATATTAAAAGGTCAAATCATATTTAAAACATGAAATCTAAATCCACGACGGGGGCTTCTTTAAATAGGTTTCCAGATTGAAACTTTCCAATTGAATCTGCCTGGGAGAAACAGGTCTCATTAAAAAATGAGGAGAGGCACTATTTCTCATGTTTAAAATTTCATCTACTCTTTCAGATTTTTGATCTCCTTAGTAAATTGCCTTTAGCTGATAATTCAAAGGTATCTATTGTTACATAACCTTAAACATAATAGCAGTCTATTTCTTTCTCGTGACAGAATGGAGGCCCTTGTAAATAATGACAGCATTCTGTTATGAATAATGTGCTAAGTAACAAGACAAGTGATTTGTGTAATCATAGTAGTTTCACAGTCATCTAAAAGTAGCATGCATATCTTCGTGCAAAATTTAGCAGGCAAAGACAAGTTCCAGTCAATCACATCTGTATGACAGAAAGATTTCAAAATTCTCACTATACTAAAGGCAAAAATAATAAATATCAAAGCAGATGGCAATGGATTGAATACTAGTTAATACTATATTGAAATGCTATGACAATAAACAAAAGAACAAAATGACAGTGAAAGGGAAAAAAGAAAAACAACTTTTTCTGTGGAAACAGACCCAATTATCTCCCTTTTGCCTGGGATTCAAACTATTAGTAATTTAATTTTCATCCCAAGGAAAATATATGTGAGCAATCAAATAAGCCAATTCAAATTTTTTTATTATTTGTAGTTTATAATAACATTACAAAGTTCTCTCATGCAACCATAGACAAAACATTCCTTTGTTCCTAAGTTTTATTTTCATTTACTTATTTTTTGGTATGCAGTCAAACAATAAAAAGAGCAAAGCAAGCAAGAAGTTTTTGGTTTGGTTGGTTGGTTGGTTGGTTTTGTTTTGTTTTTCTTTTCTGCACCTTAAGAAATGCTACATTGACCCTTGAAATGCCCTGTCCTTTTAGTATGTTCTGTTTTAATGAGTGACAGAGAGCAAACGAAGACCAAATGAGCAGGTTAAAAGGCAGGCTCCACAATGTCAGTACCTTATCACTATGGCTATGCTCCTCGTTAAGGGTTGTGCTACTACAGGTATCTACCCCAGAGTCCTTAATCTGAGGCTCAGACCATTCCAAATCCTCTTCCAAAGAGTGGCCACCAAAGTACATCATTTTCTTTTGTCTCTCAGACCTGGTGTTAGAATCCGACAAAACTGCCTGCTCACTAGTTTTTCTTTTTCCCTTTTGACTGTCCCCTATAGGCGTGGGATAAAACAAAAACAAAAACAAAAAAGATACAAAAAAAGAAAACATGCAAAGGTGTAAATAAAAAAGGAAAAGTGAAATGATAACGGATATCAAATAGCAAGGCTCCACATGTCTCACCAAAGACATTGGGGAGGCCTCACTGCTATGCCAAGACGAATGCTCCAACCAGTTGTAATCCATGTCTCCTGTGAGAGCCAGACAGACAAAAGAGTGCAGTAAAGGAGACAGTGGGGAAAAAGGACAGAGACATTACAAACATTTCAAACTGTGTGACCCTGTCTGGTTTCAAGAACTTTGTCTGTAGCACTTATTATACATACCATGAGAAAGCAAGATTTCAAGTGAATAAAATTTATAGACTGCAGAATTTAAGGCTTCTATACTCTAGACAAATCCTACAGAACAAAGTCCTGAAGGAAGAAAAAAAAAAAAAAACAAGAAACAAACAAAATAAAGTAGAAAATGCTGACAAAAAATAAGTGTTTTAGCTAGTCTGTTTCTCATGCTATAATTTTTTTCATGCTGGCCTAAAGACTTGAGATATTTGTTCTCCAAAGGTTGATGAAGATTTTAAAAATTAAACAGTGGTTTCCCAATAACCACCATTTAAAAAACCAAATACTTAAATGCTGTTCCTGGAATGCAGTATGATATTCTTTGTAATGATGAAACCTCCTCAAAAATTTGAATGGTTAAAAAAGTAGTTACACAAAAGATTTTTTATAAAAAAAAAATGACAAAACAGAGTCATTCAATTTCTCTTAGTATAAGTGCAATAAACTTTACTTAAATATCATGATTTACTAATATTTCTTTAGTATTTCATTAATTTCATTTACTATTACTTTAACTTCTTTAATATTTACTAATATTTCTTTAATATTTAATTAATTTCATTTAATGTTACTTTAAAACAACTTATCAACTTTTTTCAGAAGTTGCATCCTTATAAAAAGTAAATTTTAAAAAATGTCTTCAGATAATTTACACAACTGGCAAAGAATGAAGATCCACTTCCCAAACTTAATATGCTTCTGGTTGACCTTTTATTTTAAAAGAACTTCTCTCTTGTCCACATACATATATGTTTTTAAACTCTATCCATACTTGATTTACTTAAAAATCTTTAAGGAAGACCTTCTATTTGCTGTCTTTTGGGCTAAACCCAAGGATAAGGGGTGAGCACCAGAGTCACAAAAAAAAAAAGCAGCAGAGTCACAACAAAAGAGTTTAATACAATCTGACTTAGATGTGAGAGTCAGCAAATTCCTCCAAAGTAATGGTGCTTAAGACATGACTGAAAGATGTGACCCAGAGGACAAGTAAAGAGACAGACAAGTGAAAGAACATTCCCAGAAGAAGTCACACATGGTACTACAAAGGAACAAAGAAGCACCAGTAGGCCTGACCCAAAAAAAATGGGGGAGAACTCAGTGCTAAGTAAGCCAGTTGATGCAGCACAGAAGTTTAGAGAGGTCTTTTTTTAGGCAGTATTAAAGATTATAACTTTCAATCACAAAAGGATTTTAAGCCAAATACTAACATGATCTGGTTTGTACTTCAAAATGCTGAATTTAAGTACCATCCAGTTGAAAGCATTTACAATAATCTCTCAAAGGTGATAATAGCCTGAACAAGGGCGATGGCAATACCCAGATGTGGTAGTTCACACCTGTAATCCCAGCTACTAGGAAAACAGAGATTAGGAGGATTGCAACTCAAGGCCAACCAGGGCAAAATGTTACTGAGACTCCATCACAACAAAGAAGCCCCACGTGGAGGTGCACATTTATCATCCCACCTGCATGAGAGGCCACAGGTAGGGGAATCGTGATAAGAGGCCTACCTAGGGCAAAAGGCAAGACCATATCTGAAAAATAACTTCAAGTAAAAAGAGATACAGGTATGGCCAAATGGTAGATGCCTGACATTCAAGTACAAGGCTCTAAGCTCAAATCCCATATTGCCAAAAGAAGAAAAAAGAAAGGAAAAGATGATGGGGATAGACATGGTGAAAAAAGGCAAAGCACCCTAGTTAACTCCCAGGCCATGAAGAACAGAATAAAAGGAAAGAGAATTTTTGAGATCGAAAAGGAAATTTTGAGATGGAAAACTAGAAGAAAAGCACTTTTTGCTAGGGGAAGACTTTGAAGAAATGACTCTACTCACAGAATCTAAAATACCATTGACTATAGGATTCATAAATTTCACAATTATAAAGTGATTAAAAATGTGTCTCAAATTTATTAAACATGATGGTTGATTCTGGATGCTCTTTGAAATGTCTAAGTTATTCAAGAGCTAGATAAGTGTTTCTCAAACTTTTTCATCACACAAATAAACAATTAGAATTTCAGTACAACACACTAGGATAAATGTCGGTGACGAGCCTGGGAAAAATTTATGTCCCTGCCTAGAAGGCTAATTAAAAACCTGAGATTATTTGTATCTCTGAAAACTTTCTGCCCTTTCAAAATACATTGTTATTTCACAAAAAAGTATTGATAAATCTCTGATTCATAGGGAAAAGAAAGAGTATGGAATTGTAAATCAAAATTCTTGACAGATTTGTATAAAGACAAAAGAATTCAGCTCAAAATTTCTCCTCTCCCCCATGCTTGTAACCCATCAGAAAGGCAGAAATGTGGTTTTTTTCCTCAGTAATAAGTAAGCTCTTTAACCATTTGAAATTAAAAAGTTAAAAAAAAAAGTCCTTGAGCTCGGGTGTGGTTCAAGTTGTAGAGTGTCTGCCTAGCAAGCCAAAGCCCTGAGCTCAAACCCCAGTACTGTCAAAAAAAGAAAAAATAATAATAATCCTATTGACCTAATAAAAAGTGTCATTCATGACAGGCACTAAATAAAAAATTTGCTAAGACTAGTATCACTATAGAACTAAATATTATAATGACTGATAATCATAGAAAATCATTTAAGATTCCTATTTTATGTTGCTTCAAAGGACAGGGCTAAGATAATAAAATGTCTTTCTTTAGTAACAGTATAAAAATGTATTGATGGGATTTCCAGTTCTAGGACAAAAGCTAAAATACACAAAAAGAACTAAGTAGAAATTTTAGAGCTGAAAAATAACTGAAAGAAAAAAGTAAGTGGATGGTCTCCACTGCAGAACAGATAGGAGAGAGGGATGACTCAGTGATTTGGAAGGGAGAACAGAGAAAGTTCCTCAATCTAAAAGAAGGCAGAATTAGAATAAAAGATGAAATAAAATGAGCACAGGCTCCAGGACCCGAGAGGCCTGTAACAAAAGATATTCATATCATTGTAGTTCCAGGAGGGGAGGAAACAATGCATCCAAAAAAGTAGTCAAAGAAGTAATAGCTGGAAATCTCCCAAGTTTGGCAAAAGATGTTACGCCTACAGAGTGAAAATGCTTTGTAAACCCCTGAACAAGAATGTAAAGAACCACCATCATAATCATTTTTTTCTTTAAATCTAACTAACTTGGAAGCAGCAAAAAAAGAAATAACACAGTACCAAAAAGGTAAAAGCAATTTGAATGACAGCACATTTCTCCTCAGAAACCTTGGAGCTCATAAGGAAGTGACACAATATTTTTTCAGTAGCTTAAATAAATGTTAATTGAATTCTAAATGTGATGAAATTATATTTAAAAATGAGCGATATTATCAGATACTGAAGCTAAGAGAGTTGTCGCCAGGAGACCTACCCTAAAGGAATAATAGCTAATGGAAATTTTGGAAACAGAAAGAAAGAAGGAGGAACCCAGAAATACCAAGAAGGAATGAAAAATATGGTAAGTAAGCAAAGATATTGGTTAAACACAACAGACTTTCCTTCTCTTGGATTTTCCAAATCAGGCTTAATGTTTGTTGCAAAGTATTCAATGTCTGATTTAGTTTTCAACATATATACAGGAAATATTTAAGACAATTGCATTACAGATAGGGAAAGGTTAAGGAACTTAGGGGTGAAAGGTTTCTACGTTTTACTTTAACTGGTTGAATGTACCCTCCTCTCCATGTTCCTGTGTTGAAGTCCTAGCATACCTGTACCCCACAATGTATTTTATTTGGAAATAAAACATTTATAGTGGTAGTCAAATTAAAATAAGTTCCTTAGTGCTATTCTTAATCCAATGTGATAGTGTCCTTGTAATAAAAGGGAATTGGGAGACCATTGGTGAGAGATTATGTAAGAGACATACAAAGGACAGAGGCCTGAGAGCAACTCTCCTACACAGATTTCAATGTTACTGGCACCTTTAGGACTTCTTCTAGTCTTTTGAACTTTGTGACAATAAATTTCTGTTGTTTTAGGTTACCTAGTTTGTTATGGGAATCCTAGGAAGCTAGTAAAGTGCTGCTATTAAAACAAAAAAAAATGTAAGCACTAGCAGAATGTGATATGTTGTATATATAAAATAGTACCTAGTGCAATTGTAAAAAACTATGAAATGCACATAGAATACACAGAATACATCTAATACACATAGACCAGTGAAATACACAAAGAAAATATTATGGCTACATCAAAATGCAATTTTAAAAATATAATCCAATAACCCCGGCAAGATAGGAAAAATCAATCACAAATGAAAAAGAGGAAACAAAAAAGAAGAAGAAGAAGAAGAAAATAGTGAACAACAGTAAAACTGCACACCAGCAGTCATCATGGCTATGTAGATGTGGAAATCCCTAGCAAAACATTAACAAACAGAATTCAGCAATATGTAAAAATAATTATGCACTACAGCCAAGTAAGGTTGATCTCTAGTTTATTTGAAAATTAATGCAAAACAAATTTATAAAATAAATTAGAAAAAACAGATGATCCTATGTATAGATGATTGATGCTGAAAATGCTATCATGATATAAAGAATTCAGATGGGCTGGGCACAGTTGGGCACTCTTTTAATCCCAGCAATGTAGGAGGTGAAGGTAGGACGATCACAGTCAGAGTTCAACCCCCTGGCAAAAGCATGAGACCCTACCTGAAAAATAAACTAAAGCAAAAAAAAAAAAGGCTGGATGCATAGCTCAAGTGATAGGGGCAACTAAGTTCAAACTACAGTATCACTAAAAAAAAAAAATCAGAAAATAAGAAATAGAGGGGGAATCTGATAAAACTGAGCCCATAAAACTTATAGCTAAACTCACACTAATGATGAAAGGCTGAATGCTTTATAGGAGGAGAAATTTCATC